GTGGCAGAGCTCAATACCTAATGTTTTAGGTATGGTTGACAAGTACAGATGGCATTGGCAGTGGAAAAATCCAACTCCAGTAAAGTTGAAGCATCATCATAACAGGTTTCTCCAATGAAATTGATTTCTATCAATTAGAGCTAGGCAATTCAAACCTTGCCACTGTCATGAAGGCTCTCACAGGGCTGGAATTTCTGTAAGATCAAACCTGACATCCTGGCAAAAACTAAAAATACTAACAGCAATACTCCTGTAAAAATCAAAAATAAATAAATAGAAACTAGATATTTTACAGGGGTTGAAGACTGTATGGTAGTTTTTGAGGGGTAAATGTGCTACTGAATTTTCTGGCGAGTTGTTATGCATGCAGGTGGTGTGGTAGGGTGCTACAGGGATAAGAGTGCAATTCCAGCACCTTAGTTTTCACCCAAATATTACATAATATCTAACTAAAATAAAATAAATAAGGCTTAGTGATGGAGCAAGTCGGACCATGCACACAGGATTCTGTCCATATATGTATGGGCTGTTGAGGGTAGCCTGAATAGTATACTATATATGATAAAGATACTCCCTGAAGTTTTCTCTTTTTACCCCAGCTCTGTTAAGTGCCTTAAGCAATCACAATTTAGCATAGGCTGTAGTACAATTTTCAGTATTTGACAGGTGATATTAGCCTTCTTGATATTAAGACAGAATCATGATTGGATGATCACACATGATGTCCCATACCTGGGGATATCCCAAGGATAACAGGGCTCTTAGCCACATAGCAAAACAGAAGATAATCAAGCTAAGAGCCAGACACCTGGGGGTGACTAAAGTGTGTGTAACAACCCAGTGTTAGTTACTCTGGCGCACACAGAACACACTATAAGGAAGATGATGAGGGAGTGGTTACCCCTTGAGCTGCAGAGAGTTTGTTGGTATACAACAGGAGGACTCGCTGAGGAGTCTCCTGGATCTATTGGGGTTTATATACTACTACAGGGTTGTTTGTACATGTGTACTATACAGTTGATACCCGCATGGCCAGCTCCACTGTGTGAGAGAGTTGTGTCTAAAATAAGAAGAAAGGCAATGTGGCGCGAGAAAGAGGAGTTTGGACAAAAGGGGAAGTGCCGCGTGGTACCATGTGTGAAAGCTATAGTACAAGGTTAAAGCGGAGAATAAAAAATAAAGGGAAGGTCCGAAAATTGTGTTATCATAACAGTGTGATAGTCAGCTCAAGAACCAGGCCATCAAACTCTTATGTGGAACTTGCTTGTACCAATATTTTGTTAGAATACATACTACTGAGACTTTGAATTACAATCAATTCATTGCAAATATACCATATATTCTGATAAATACATGTTTGATACATTCACAAACTAATTCACCACCTCCATCAATACTTTCACTTTCCACTTCTTGCCCTTGTTCTGCTGTAGTGAGCCAATCTAAGCCTGGATATTTTCTGAGAATATAAACCCATGGCTTAGCCTTTTTCTCATAAGACCATATTCTGATAAGGTTATTGATACTAGTGCTAGGTAAAGCTTGAATGTTATCAGATCAACGGCCTTGCCACTTCTGCAACACCAGTTTGAGATTTGTGATAGGCTGATATATAACCACAAGACCCATTGTACCAAGTTCTAAGAAGACTAAGGCTTTACCAAAGATAGGTTTATTATTTCCTTCAGTTGCAGCTTCAAAATAGCAGGAGGACCTTGTTGCATTTTCTTTCCGTTCATTTAACTCACTATTTAAAACAGTTCTATCTGGTAAACAAATCTTTCCAAATCTTTTTAATGGACCTTGCAGATTGAAGGGAATATTTAGCAATGGGCTAATAACTTCAAGCTTGCAATACAGCTCTTTTCTAGGATTTCTCTCTCTTTTTGTGATAGGTATTTCTTTAAATGGCTTTGGGCTTATATCAGGTTTGGATCTTGATGCTGCCAGCAAAGTTTTGACATCAAGGGAAGGATAATACAGAAACAAAATTTTCACCAGTTCTCTTTTATATATAAGATTGGCCAGGTTTGCGAGTGGTGGTTTCTTAGAATGAATCTTATGACCTAGTTCCCCAATAGCTCACTCTACAGTAGCTTGTGAGCCCAGAAAAACAGAACCATTTCATTGTATATGTATAGGAATATGAGTTAGCTGAAAGACATATAACCTGCATCTTGCAATTTTGTCTGGATCATCACCAATCTATAGCTGTTCAAATCTCATAAGAAAAGTTTTGATCAAATTGTGCAGGTCTTTCAGTTGCTCATCAGTTCTTGGTACAATTGTTATTGCCATTTCAATTGCTTCAGCAAGATAAGAGAAAATTTCCAGCACTGAAGGTTTAAAGCCAACTTCAAACCCTATAAGCAACACATACCAATGCAATATTGCCATCTATTCATAGATCTTATTTTGACTGTTTCTTTTCAAATATGGGTCTCAGATTGGCCCACAGAATGATGGTGGAACATTTGACATTGTATTAGCTACTAGTTTTCCAAATGTGCTAGCTATATTTTGATGCAAATGTACTGGTTAATTTGGTTCACTAATAGTCACCCATAAATCCCATACATGTGCCATAACATTCTCATAGAAAAGATGGAATTGATCAAGTGGGAAAAATGTTTGATGAACAAATGCAGGACTAGTTGCAGCTATAGGTAGATGAGAGATCCTTGTTGCTTTGATTATGGTCTCATGAGCATTTTTAGAGGTAGCACTTACAAGATTATCAATAGTTTCCCAACAATCCTTCTCTGTATGCATAGATAACTTATAGGTAGCTTATAAAGTTCATAAATAGGATGGCCCTTGTTGTAGGTATCATTTTGTGGAGGTGATAATGGATAGTACTGAGCCTTTGCAGATCATTTCTTTCCAGATTTCTTACCAGATTTTGCACCTTTGATATAAGTGAATTTATCTCCATAATTTTCTGAATGTCCTGCCATTCCATTTAGCTTGGCTGCATAAGAAATCAACACTTTTCTTTTAAAAAGTCATTTTATTCCTTCTGTCTTTTTCACTACAACAATGTCTTGGATTCACAACCTTCTTCCACTACAACATTAACCCTAAAACTAAAAATAACCCTCAAACTACTTATTTTCTTTTCTCTTATTATTTACCTACTTATTCTTTATAATATCCCAACATACTTATGGAGGAGATTACTAACTCCAGTACAAGTGGAGGTCATCAATCTTTGCAGCAGGGATCCACCACCCACTGTGTAAGAGAGGCTATCCCTTTAGAAGAAGCAACCTAGAGGCACCTGCCAAAGTACCAGTGTCTTATAATCCCAAAGGTGCTAATCAGGCATAGCCACACAAACCTCTATTAGTACTCTTCCTTCTCACAGTATGACAAAAGGACAATTATGGTTCTACTTCTATTTTTTTTTCTATTGGCTACTAGAAGTTGAACCACTTTTTTTTCTTTATTCTTTTTTCCATCGTTCAATTTCCCATTCATTATAAAAGTCCTCTGAATCTGTAACTATCTCTTTAGTTTAATATTACTTGAGAAATCCTGCATAAAGGTCCCTCCCATCTCAAGCTATATTGTTCTCCTCTTGTTGACTCTATCAGTTTTTGTTGAGCTCACTTTGTGTTTCCTCACAGGCTGACCCTAGCATATCACCAAGTACTAAACAATGGTATGCACAATTGATGGATCTACAGCATCCCAGGTCCATATTCCAGCACTAGCTGATGCCATTTCCTGGAAAAATTCATATAAATAACTTTCAATATTTCCAGATGCTCCAGGTGCTGGAATTACCATTAAGACAATGATATTGTTGGATTTGTAGTGTATCTCTGGGGGCAAGTTGAGGAGAATAATAATCAGAACCTAAGTATCTGATTGTTTCTTCATGGTAAGCTAGGCACTATCAGTGGAAATTGCAAGAGCAATATCTCTTTTCCCTTTGAATAGATCTGGTTGATTATGGTGATGAATATGTACATTTGTATCACAAAAGTCTGATAATATTCTGCTCTTAGAGGCTGTTGCAACTAATTTCAATGCTTTTTGCAAATAATTGTCCCTATATCTCAGAAGTGTAGATGTTTCTGCATTTGAAATTAGTGCACTGATTGTGCTCGTGACTAGAAGGTACATCATCTAGGCCTTAGGTTTAGGAGATCTTGATGTTCCTGCTTTGTGGCATAGTTCACCACAAATTTTTTTATCCCATATGTATGGGCAAGAATGTAAGTCTTTGTACTGGCCTGTGTAGGCAATACAACTCTTTAGACACATATCAACTTGAATAGGTTACACATTTGTGGGAGGAATCGATTTTTCTTATCGCATTCCCGTCATGTCGTGGTTAGCAGACTCGATCCCCATCACTCCTCTTGCCCTTGGACTAGAGATTACAGCAGGTGTCTTATTACTTTTATCATTTTTCTTCTTATTCTCTCTTCACACTCACGTTCTATCGTACCTACAACGAGGTAGACTTGTTGTCGACCCTCGAGAAGATATCCAGATGACATAGTCACAATCCAGTGCTATGTCTGGGAATACTTCGGAGGAATATTGATAAGCGAAGAAGGTTGTGAGTCAGCGCCTTCTCATGGGCTTACTGATACAGCCAATCGTACATCCCTTACCAATACATTTTCTCATATGATTAGTAAAGACGATAGATCGAACCACTTTCTTCCTTTTTCCTTATTGGTTAGCTAGCTGGTCAGACCACTTTCTCAGTACTTCCCTTTCTCGGTCTGACCATCGCCGTTCACTATATAGAGAAGTACATACTCGATGTATTGTTCTCCAGTTCAATATTAGTTTGGATTTGTGCTCTTACCAATACTCTTCATTCTCATACTCTGATTCACCGCCTTCAAGGAAGGACTTGACCAGACATTGGGCTTTGTTATATAGCTTCGTATTTGTTGCCTGACAATTTGCGAGCAAATAGCAAGTTTTTGAGCAGGATAAAAAAAGAGAATTTCTATTCCAGTTGCCTCCTGCGAGACCTAAGCATGATACTGATAATCTAAAACAGTTCTTTGAGACTTTGTCCAAGTAGCATAGTGCTTTAGTGTGAGAGCCTCTGAGGCATTCAGCTCACGTGGAGGATAGTGTGATATTGGAGGAATTGGTGAGGGTAAATACAAATTAAGCAGTTCTTGCTAGAGACCTCAGGGTAGTGAGTTACATTCTCCTCATCAGATTCATCAGATTCATAAAAACTACTGTTATTACCTCCCTCATCGTCTGGGGCACTAGGTGCACTAGAATCACCATCACTTTGGCCCTCAGGAAAATATATCAAGTCCTCATCATCAATAGAATCAGAGTGCAAGGCTTTACCAGCATTTGGACTGGCAGTAGTAATTCCAACATCATCATAATCATAATCATTGTCCACATGCATATGTGTAGCATCAACTTCAGAGATATTATCATTGGAGAATCCTTGACCACTAGGACCACTCAGTTCCACATTAGTATATTTATAGATATCTATATAGCCCTCTAGTACTTCTGAAGAAACTTGGTCCAGGAATATATGTCTTGGCTATTAGGAAATAGACAAAATTTGTTACATACCCCACCCATCTGTGGCCCCACAGTTATGCAATAGCCTGGTACTGGTAGATATACAGTCCTGTAAATGTCTAGTGAATTTCTGGGTGTGATTTCTTGCATTTGAAAGGTCAATATCTCTCTGGTTATGTTTTCTAATTGTTTTTATAGTGAGAAATTGAGATGATAGCACATAGAACATGAGCATGACATGATGGTATCAGATCAAACACACAGTGAGCTTATCATGATCTGCTTACTGTGTGTTTGATACTGATCTAGCCTCTAGATTGGTACATTGTGGGGACTTCTATTTTGGGAACTCACCATCACCTGCATAAAAGTATGTTACTTTGTCAAAGCCTCAGCCATGAACAATTAACAGATTTTCTCATTGTTTTTTTCTACTCACATTATGTCAAATTTCCCTCCAGTTTTGAAGCCCAACTTCTTTGGTTTTGATGGTACTAATGGTGGGGGTGCTAATTTTAGTGGGACAGCAGCAGGTTTGGGCCCTTTGATCCCACCACTTCCCTCACTTAGAAATTTCAGTTCAACAGTTCCATCTGTTAAGAATCTATCCCTTGCAGATATACTCAAGAACCCTTACTTTGCTCAGCTTTTCCAAACTACCAGACTGTCACCACCCAGTTAGCTCAGCTCAATCACACTCAACAAAAGGCCTTAAGTGAGAAGGAGACACTTGTTAATGAGATTCAGACTTTGGTCAAGGAGCAGAAGACCTACATAATAGAGAGACAAGAACTCTTAGCAGGTGGACAGGTCATTTCTTTTGGAAACTGGGAGCTCTTGGATGCTAGGCAGGCTTATCTACAGGAAATTAATTATCTGATGGCCATCATCAAGTTGCTGAAGGAGGAGAAATCTGTATCTTTGAGGTAAGCCCCCCCCTCAACATTCAGTATAATGCTAACTACACTTTATGTTAGACATTGAGATGTCTCCATTGTGACAAAACCGGATAAACCCGGTCTCTGCCGAAGCAGCCATTGTTCTCCTAGGAGCACAATTGTACTCCTAGGAGTCATTATACTGTAGCGAGTAGCACCTCCGATTATAAGTAGTAGGGGGTTTAGTATAGGAATACCTCAGTCGTTTCTATAGCCTCTCGGGCAGTGGCTGAGGTATGTTACATTACATTTATTAGAGATCACCTTAAACTAACATCTATTGTAGTTTCACTTAGTTTTATTACATTGTGCCAAGTGATTTCATCTCCCACTTTAACTCCAACTAACCCACCACTATTGTCTCATTAACCCCACAAACTCCTGTCAAATAGCCTAGTGAATACCCACCTGAAATTCTCTGGATGCTGGACAACTGTAAATAAGACCCTGACATTGACATCAGTGATACAAATAAGTCCCACCCTGTGATGGAGAGAACCATCCAACATAAAGATGGCACTCTCATATCTGTAAATAAGTGGTCTGCTATTAAGGCCACAGCTTGTCTCATCTAGAACAAGCTCCTTAATCTCCACCCACCCAAGACATCTCACATCAAGGAACCAGCCAGAAAAACCAAGACCTACTTCTAGACCTACTTCCAAATGGAATGGACTGCAGCCCTCATCATAATTGAGCAATAGCAGCCACTCCTGGCTCTGTGTGCTGGTCATTGGAAAGCAGATCATGTGCTTGGTGCATCTCTACTTTTCCACAAGAGCAACCGTGCATTTTATGCACTATAAAGAGTGTCTGTCAAAAGAGAGACTCAGTCTATTATTGTAAAGACTGAGGTGTTGAGAAAAATGTGTCCGACTTTTTGTCAAAGTGTTTCAATGTCCAATGCTTATGTAATGTTTGGAAAAAAGTGGAAAGTGTAAGTGTAAATGAAGATAATGGAAGATGTTTGAAAGAAATGTTACAAAGTATTAGTAGTTCAAAATATAATGTGAATGTAGCTTCTCACTATGTCAACAGCACTCAGCAATCCTGACAACAAAAGTGACCTGGACCAATCCAGTGGTCACACAGATAAAAACCCAGGTCTGTCAGTGAGGAAGTGGTCTTGGACTCTCTCTCTGGCCTCACAATGTCTTAAGAAAAAGGTTTTTGAGAAGTTGCAGGCCAGTTCAGATGGACAGGGTAAGAGAACTAAGTGAATGGGCAGAATGCCTGAACTCAGTCACCTCCTGGAAGGATGTAGAAATGACTATGTTATTTACCTAAGTGAATGGGCAGAATGCCCGAACTACAATAGATGTCAGCTTAAGGTAAATATCTATAAAATGTAATGTAACATACCTCAGTCACCTCCTGGAAGGATGTAGAACTGACTAAGGTATTTCTATGCTAAACCCCCTACTACTTATAGTTGGAGGTGGTACTCGCTTAAGTACAATAACTCCTGGAAGAACAATGGTTGTTCCAGGAGGTGGTGGCTGTGCTCCTGGAAGAACAATGGTCGCTCCAGGAGAACAATGGCTGTTTAGCCGACACTAAGTCTATCTGGTTTTGTCAAAGGGAGCCCCTGTGCTTCAATTAAATGAAGCTTTGCCCCAAGCTCACCCAAGTAAGTCTTTTCTTATCCATCTCTTCATTTCACCCTAACTTTTTCATATTTCCAGCCTCAAAGCTTATTATTCATCCTTTTTTGACAATAATGGCCCAGCTCAGTCTCAAGAAACCCAATAATCCACAGTTGACCATATTGATATATCTTTTGTCAATGTGAATACATTAATTGAAGATATCCTCAGTAAGCTTTTATTTTATTTTATTTTATTCAATTACTAATACACAATCTTACAGATATATTGAACTTGTAATATCCTCTTGAAAATGAAACTATTAAACTTGTCCAGGCAATGAAAGCCAGTGTTGGCACCCCTTTTTTGGCTCCCCAATACACTTGTCCCTCCGATGCTGTGACTGAGTTACTTGTGCATGTCCAGCATGCTGACCCTAACTCCCCCAACATCCCAGAAGATGACACTAATGAATTATGGGGTCACTATCAATACATGGGGGCAAAACTATTACTACTATGTTCACAGCCTGGGCAGACATTGGGACCACAGAAAATGCCTGCAAATCCATTGCTGCTACTATCAAAACTTACAAGGTGGCCAGACATGTTTGTTTTTAGTGCAACATCAAGGCAATGTCATACCTCAGTGATATGTTGTCTTGTTGATAAAATGTTTGATATGGGATAGGTACCAAAAACTTTATCCTAGGGTTGTCAGAAGTTTACAACCTAAGCTGGACAATGGGCAATAACCTAATTTGTTTGTGGGGTGGAATTTATTTATCTCTAGTTTATGAGTTTGTCATTAGTCTTTGTGCTCCGAAAGGCTAATATGACAATGATAAAAGTGTCCTTAATGATAGAAAGAACAAGTAGTGATGTGTGGATAGACATGTGAAGGTTTGTATGGATGGGAAGTGTTACATGACCTAGCTTCAGAATGTGGTTGACACAGATGTGACAATGATAGTCTTTGCTTGTTGAGGGACTAATAGGATGATAATAGTAATGTTCTACACTTGATAAAGGACAGACTATAATGTACTGATGATCAATAGAAAAGTGAAGTAAGATTTGACTATGCTTCAGTGATTGACAGCAGATGAGCTTATACCATATCACTAGATGACTGATACAAGTTTGAGATAGAATATAGAATAACTGTGGTAAATAATAAACAATCACAAATAGTAGTCACTCTTGGACTACTATTGTCTGTGACAGATATGATTCTAGAGTGGTCTTTTGATTACAAAAATAGAAAGGTAATTTGAAAGTGTAGAGTAAAAGGTGACTCAGTCAGGCACAGTGTTCTATTTGTAAGATTCACAGGCCAGTCTAGCCTTCTCCACAGTAAAAAGAGGATTAAAGAAAATTTTCTTATATGGAATTCTTCCAAAAGTATTCACAAGGATAGGGATGTGAACATATTATCTACTCCCCAAAAATCAGAATGATTAGTAAAGTGGTTATTCAGATAATGGCAAAATATGCTGTAGGAAATTTAATCTCCCTTTTTGAAAACTGACCATGTGCAAACCATGTGGAAGCCATGTGGTAAATTTTCAGTGTTGCTGTCAGGTGGCTGACAGTAAGTGATACAAGCATTCTTGTTTGGCTCATATCTCCAGAACTAGCGGTCAACAAATTATAAGACTTTGTGACATAGTGCTATGGAATGTGTACTTCAAGATGAGGTACTTTTGATAGCATAGAATATGTCATATGTTGCCATGTCCATACATGAAACATTTTCATATATGATAGTGTATCTTCAAACAACTGGTGAACACTTCTGGAGTCTGTGGAAACAAGCTGGAGGGGTACAGTTTTTTTTTACTTTTCTGTCAATTATTTTCTAATGTACTAACACTTACAGAATTCTCATCAGGAAAAAGCACCCACGCCACCAGATGATGATCATCTGTTGCCAACAGATACCTCTGAAGTCCAAGGCATCAATCCTCCTAATTCACAATTAACAAGCAGCCCATTAGTCTCAGACACAGCTACTAGACCAAGCGGTCTTTGTAAACAGTTGCAGATCAGTTTTTCCCCTTTTCTCTGTTTCAAATACTATGAAACAGATGATTAATTTAACCAGGCACTTACTCAAGATGGGCTGAAAGATTGGATCAAGTACCACAACTTACCATTTGCTGGATCAAAGAAATTGAAAGAAGGTATGTTTCCTCATTTTCTTTCAGCATAATTTTACTCACTTCACTTCTTGTCTTACAGATCTCATTGATCTCATTGCTACCTCAGAAGGAGACAGTACCCTCACAAGGAGAGCATCAATGAAATAATTAGCAAGGTATAAATGACCCCCCTCTTTTATTATGTAATATGATTCCTGATTGTTTTTACTGTATGTATTTACAGGATGTCTAATTTTTTCACCAGCATACTGCAAGTGTTACTCACTAAGTATACAGACATACCTGGTATTCTATCATTGATTTTTTGCTGGAGCCAAACCTTGGCACATAACCATATATGGAAATATCACCCAACCATAGCAATATGATTCCTAACAGTTTCTATGTGTTTGCAGGATGTCTATAGGTGTTGCTGTTATATTGCAAGTGTTACTCACTGAGTATACATACAATGCTTTTGTTGTGTTGTATATAAAAGCATTTGTTTAGTAGTTGATTGTTTGTCAGCATCAAATATTGGGACATGGCCATAAATGAGAATATCAGTCACACAAACAACAAGGTTAAGAGACAGTGTCCATGTGTTTATATGATGATCCTAATTATTGCCAGCATAAAGTCTTGCTACTGTATGCAAATACAAGTTGGTAGTTGTTCTCTCATTATTTGCCAGCACCAAATTGTTAGGAATCACAAAGCAGGCTTAACTGATAATTTTAACAAGAGGAGGACAATATAGCTTAGGATGGGAGGGACCTTTTATGCAGGAGTTCTCAAGTAATATTAAACCAAAGAGATAGCTACAGATGCGACGGGCTTTTATAGTGAATAGGAATTTGAACAATGAGTTCATCCGTGAAAGTGTTACTTCTGAATGCGAGAGTTCTGTGCAGTTCGTAGAAGTCAGTTGTTTATCACTCCTCGCCAAACATATTCATACACATGGTTGTAGGCTCCCATTTGGCCGATGACCAGCGACCCACAAAGCCCAGGTACAATACTGGTTCCAGCCACGCCCACGCCGGTGTGCACCACGCTCCCGAGGAACGATGTTAGTTACTCGCTGGAAGCACCCATGCAACTTCTTACACATGGTTGTAGGCTCCCATTTGGCCAATGACCAGCGACTCGCAAAGCCCAGGTACAATACTGGTTCCTGCCATGCCCAGGCACGAGCGCGCTACGCTCCCGAGGAATGACATCAGCCATCATTCTTCACCAAAGGTCAGTTACTCGCTGGTTTCACCAATGCAACTTCTTACACAAAGATTGTAGATTCCCAGTCACCCGACTACCCTAATTGCTGTCCTGACTACCCCTACTGCTGTCCCTACCACGTCAACGCCTGCCGCGCGCCTGCAGAACAATATTAGCCCCGTCTTCACCCCGTCCATTCACCCGCGGACGACCAATATTCATGAGTCTTCATCGAAGGTCAGTCCCTTGGGGGCACCCATCAAACCTTGCTTTCTCAATCATTGTAGGCTCCCATTAGGCCCCGTATACCGGGCAACCAATTAACTCCTCCCACGCTCACATCTCCTCCATGGACAATTGACACCTGGGTAACGCAACTGCGGCTACCTGAATGGCTGTTTTCACGACAACTCGAAATACCGCTGGTATGCACATCCTAGTTTTTGAATGCCTGGGTGATAATTGTCTTGTCAGCAGGCAGTTCCATGTGATTGTTGTAGGGAGAAACCTTTCCCCAGAGGATGTCGCAAAGAAGTTAAGTTTCGACGGAGAGGGTGATCACGGAAACCTCATCCTGCGTGGGCTGTTGTGAGAGGAAAAAGAGGTGTGTGTGGACTCACCCGGATGTGGCCGCAGACATCAGCTCTCTCAATGACGCTCCAGGTAACTTCCTGTTGGCTATAATATGTGCAGTGATTCAATGAGTTGATTATTTTGTGATCAGCCCTTCTCACCTGGCTACCTGGTGGCCACATTTCTGCAAACGACTCGACCGCAAAACAGTTTGATGAGGACGCGGATGTGTGTGGGGAGCTGCTGAATGAGCTGATAGAGGCTCAGTGTAGAATACAGTCAGCTATGGCTGCCAAGTCAGCTTAACGTGCACGCTGGCTACACATTATATGTACTTCTGGAGCATCATCGAAACACGAACAACGCCCTCTCCGATGACAGACGAATAAAAATATTGTATTTGTATTACTTGAAATCAATGACAAAATTACGTTGACGGATAGTGCCGTCTTGTCTTTAAAATTGAAGCCCACTGACTTGACGTCCCTAAACACTGTGATACAGCAGTGCCCGAGTGATTTCTTCTGCACCCACAGATTACTCCTACAGAAATGGTAAGTCTTCAACCAATCAACTACCCCCTCGTAATGGGTATGTACACAGGCAACGCGACCCGACGTTGACAAAGTTATGGAGGAGGCATACAAAAACATTATGTTAAGTCCAACCGGGTCCGCGGAGGACTTGACGATGCTCAACCAGGTAGGTTTCTTGTCAATACGAAGGAAAGCATATATTGATGTTATCAGAGTGCCGAGCAGTGGTCTCCCGAGGAGCAACAAAGTCATATATGAAAGCTTGCGCAGATCAAAGCGCAAAATTGGGAGAGACGTCTCTACATACCATTTGTGAGTGTATTTTGTAATGTACTATGAAATGATATATTGGAACGATCTGATCGCTGTGTGACATAGGTAGCAGAGTGCGTTGAGTGTTCCGCCAATCCAGTCATCGGAGGATGTTGAAAGGAAGTATCCACCGCAAACTTCTCATCAAAAGCGACTCGGTGCGTTGCATGTACAGGGAGGGACACCCCTTGCAGTTGGAACGACAACTGGTTAGAGCATGCATTAATCCGAGCACAAAAGAGGGACCAAGGTAAGATTAAGGTTGTTGATGCAACACTCCATAATAACTACCTCTCAGCTCCATGGTTACCTTGCGTCGGACAACCTTGTAGAACGACATCTGCCGACGATGACTGGGAGGCCATACAGATGTCGGAGGAGCTACTGGAAAAATTTCAGCGAAGCCTCGCGGCGGTGCAAGTAGCTCTAAGTAAGAAAAGGTTGGCCGCGGGGAGGAGGGGGGAGCGATGGCGAGAAAATATGTTAACCTTATGAATGAGATCAGTGTGTATCCTACAATGTGTATCCAATGAGCGCAGAAATTGTAGCCTCCTAGCGGGACGCAGAACACTCACGTCAACCATTTTATTAAAGACAATTCGTGCAACAATATGACCTGTGAATACACTGGATATTCGACAATGCATAACCGCGGAGCGAAGATACAAATACCAAGATGAGCTACACAACGCGTAACCCAGAGTAATGAAACACATGGTAGCTTTAACTATACAATAGGCCCGCAGGGAAATTGTCTGTACTATTTCTCAATCACACATGTTGTACAATGCGTACTCTAGCGTACCATATAAGTTATTAGCAATTGGTGGCTGAGAAGTCGATTCATTCTCCCCGCGCGAGGTATTTGTGTCCAACGGTAGCTGTACAACAAGCCTGCGGGGCAATTGTCTTCACTATTCTTTAATTACTCATTTTGTACAATGCGTGATATAGTGTGCTAGCTATAGTGTGCTAGCTACAGCGTATCATATAAAATTACTAGCAATATCCAGAGACGTTAGAAATTCCATGGGTACGTTCACGTAAGCATTGTACAGTTGGATGATCTTCTTAATACACTCATTTGCAGATGCTTCCTTGCGCAAATTGCAAGGCTAATGACGACGGCCGCACACCGTTGACTTGCGTGTACAACCCGAAGAGCAAGGGCTCTGTGTGCGGTCCCTGCAAGAGGAGATGCCAGTGATGCTACTGGCCGTCTGAGGATACAAAGAAGTCACTTCTCGCGTTGCCCCTCGACGATGGAATGTGTAAGTCCAGTCCTTTCTCACCTCCACATACATCTCCTGAAATGTCTTCTTTTTTTTTGCAAAAGCTCCTATCAGCCATCTCGAAGACATGGACATGTCGTCGCTGTCCGCGGAGGATCTGAGGGAAGTCCAGATGACTTGCGCGCAGCTTACTTGCCCGGTGGCTGAACATCAAATGCAGTTGATTGAGGTGCGGGATGTGATGGACGTCAAGCTGTCATGAACTATCTTTTTCTTTACTTGTAGAAACAATATATTGCTAAGTAAAATGTGTGAATGCTGTAATGAAATCTCTTGTGCTTTTCTTTTGACCTCCACCGAACAACATCTTTAGTTCTGCAACCCTAGCACTAATTCATTGTGTAAATGACCTCCCCTTCCTCAGTGATAGAGGTGGTGGATGTTGTGCAGACTCACCCATCCCAAGGGCAACAAATCATTCAGTTTAGTTTATAGATCACTTGTGTAGTGCACATGCTGTTACAGTGCGCCAAACAAAAATTTGTCCGCGCAATATTCATTAGCTTCGCAGACCGGAGAATTATAGAATGATATGCGATGCATTTGCCCGCGGACAGGGATAGCTACCCAAATGCCATCCGAAGGGCAACAAATCATTCGTGGCATTTCAGGGATAGCTACCCAAATGGTCTACTCGCCATACTCACCCATCCCAAGGGCAACAAATCATTCATGGTGTTTGGTATTCTAGGCCGTAAGTCTGCGAGGAGCAACTGTAATTGAGGTCTATTCACCGTGCGCCAAACAAAACTTTGTCCGCGCAATATTCATGTGCTTTGCACACCGGAGAATGTCTGCATGCTTACATTAACTGCCATTTGTATGAGTCATTAAAAGACTGCGGGCTCATCCGCGTGGGGAGATCACTACAACGATGTATTTCTTCATTACATAGCTTAAGAGGTCAGCGCTCACGGAACAATTTGTACATGAATTTTTGCAATACAGGAGGTGGTATTCTAGTCTACTATCATGTCCTCTTCATCTACCTCCTTGCTGAGGAAGTCTTTGAGCTCTTTGAGGGTAGCTTTGTCTACCATATTGTCCTCCATAGCTACGTTCCACAGGTTAGCTTCCAGCTCCTGCATGCTGTCCTGCCCAGTGATGTCAACCTCTGGCCCAAGGAAGGCTTCCAACTCCTCCTGGAGCTCGATGGGTACCTCGTCCACCTCTGGTCCCAGGAATGCCTCCAACTCTGCCACAACCTCTGGTGGCACCTCTTCCTGCTCCCCGCGCGAAACCTCGTCCACTTCCGAGCCTAGAAAGCTCTCCAGCTCCTTCACAATCCCCGGAAAAACCTCTTCTTTGTCCTCATCTACCTCTGGTCCGAGGAACGCCTCTAGCTCGTTGAGCACGTGCCTCGGGATTTCTTTCTCCACCTCTGCCTCTACTTCCGGTCCAAGCCACGCCTCCAACTCCTCCGCAAGCTCCCGAGGGACGATTTCCTCAGCCCCGTGGAATGCCTCAAGCTCTGCTTGTACCTCGGGCGGTGCGCCTTCTTCGTCCTCCTCAAGCTCCACTCCATCCCCGAGGAACGCCTGGAGCTCTGCTTGTAGCTCGGGCGATATGCCTTCGTCGTCCTCCGTACCCCCGACGACCATCACACTAGAGTCGTTGTCGGGACAGTCAAAGTGTGGGACGTTTCCGTCGCTGCTTGTGAGGTTCCATCCGGGGCGGAGGAACACCTCAAAATCGGAGAGGCCAAGGTCCTCAGTGGGGTATAGGTCCACGTCCTCTCCATCGAGGAAAGAGTTGAGATGGCTTCCAGGAAGCTTGCGGAGGAGGGTCATTTCGTCTTTCATGATCAAGTTGTCCGCAATGGTGCTGCGGATGGCCTCGACCGCCTGCTCCGCAATGGTGCGCAGATCTCGCCGGTTTTGCAGCTCCAGATCGAATCGGCTGAAAAACTGAAGTTCACACTATGAAAAGGTGTCAGCGATTAGACCCAAAGCGCGGACAATGCACAAAGTACTTACAAAGCACTCCCCCAAGATATTCATATCGACCTTGAGGTTTTCCCATTTGTTGTTGTTGTTGCCAGTGAATGGCTCGCAGCCCCCGGCGTGTCGGTGGGTCTTCTTGATGTCTTTGATCAGCCACCGCAGCTTTTGAGCGGAGTACTGTTCGTCAGTGAATATTGCCGCGCACATGTTGTGAAGTTGTGTAGATGAGAGGTGGGGGTCGGTGATGGGGGTTTGGATTGATTGACACACCAAAGGATCGGTTTATATGGCTGGTCAACGGAATGTGTGACTCCGCAGGAAAACAATGGTGGCCGAGAACGCTTGAAGCTTCGATTAACCAAAGCAGGTCATGCATCCACCGGGTAACGAGATGTGGCATTTCCTGAAAATACACCAAAACAATGGGTGGCCAAGTGGCGCGCTGACCATAAATACGCCATCGCGCCCTTCTCACCTATCTTTTCGTCGTTGTCATGGCCAGCTCCGTCGTTCTCCCCAACAGCATTGCTCAACTCATCAGAGACATACAAGCTCTGGACATCAAATCGACTGTCCACTGTCTCGAATTTCACCCTAGGGCTGACACTTTACTGCTGGAGTTCGAGACTAAAAAGGCAAGTGATCTTCATTGATCTCCTAGTTCACTTCTAAACTCCATGGCAGGAGAAGCTGGAAGTGATGTGGGGACTACTGGACCGCTGGGTCCCTGGTGCCAAACTCAGGGCACGCTATCTCGAGCACGCGGACATCATCAAAAGAGGAGCCCTGTTAGCCCTGTCCGCGCTCAAGGACGTTCAACCAGACTCGGACAGGAAAGGCAAACATAAAGAAACCAGTGCGGTCCACACGGAGAAGCACAAGGCTCTGGTGCCATATGTGAGTGATGTATGCAACATGATAACCCAATGACAAACAGGCTTTGTCTACAGGAGGTCCCAAACTCCCCGCGGGAGAGTTTTGATAGATTGGCTACAGGGTTGCTACCGCCAGGTAAGTGTTTTATACACGCCAATCCGTCCTTTAACCTCACCCTGTATAGCTATAGATCTCAACCATGAATTGACACAGCAAGAGGTTGAAGAAATGACGTCGGAGGAATTACAGGCCGCAGAGGCTCATTATAATAGCTATTGTGACCTTTTAGCCAATCATATACACCGACTACGTAGTTGTCAATCACAGCAATAGCAATGTAACTTAAAAATTCTGTAATACATAGCCATCCATCCATTTAATTCATAACTGGCATGTACTAATATCATTAGTGAATTGAACTCTCCGGGTGCATGCTCTGCGGGAGCACAAGAAGGTAGAGTTGTTCCAAGGTGGCATAGGACGGTTCAGCCCGCGCGCAATGAAATGCTTCGGCCGTGTGCGCGCGGTGGGGCTCAAAAGACGTTCCAATGCGTTGGGGGCGATTCAACCGCACGCGCGCAATGAAATGCTTCGGCCGTGTGCCCATGGGAGGCTCAAGTCAAAAGATTTGCTCCAACGTGTCACTTAACTGCATGCACTGTTGATGATGAGAACTGTAGTTAGAAAACCACACACAAAAACAAACTAACACACAATCCTCCCAGATTCCACGGAACTTGTTTATGGGCTTTGCCTCCTAGAACAGTGGGTGCTCTGGTTGTTCATGGGGTGGTATGTATGAGGATCCTTCAAAGTAAAACCCAGAGGTGTATGAGTGTGGGTTTTGAGGAGGAGGGATAGTTGAATTTATAGAAAGATAGGGGCTTTGTGGCGAGTATAGACGAGCACTACCTTGCTAATCATAGCCAAGGTAGGTTTGAGAACAACGAGGATGACGAGGTGATGAGGTTCCCAGTGATAGCAGGCTCCTGACGCACAAACTGTAGTGCTCAGAAGGACTCTAACTGAAAGGGATGACAATGACTTCAAAAGTGGGAAGTGATGATGACAGCAGTTGACAGTGGTAGCAGTGGGAAGTGTTGTGACCACACTGGATCACAAGCAGCAGAGTAGTGAACTTGAGAGTAGAGAAGAAGTCTGGATTGGAGTTCTTGTTTTTTTTACAAGGTAAAATACAGGGGTTTATATAGTAAAAGAAAAGTAGGCTATGCACAGTATAGCTGTGCAAAAAGAATGAGAAAGAACATGAAGGAAGGAATGTACGCTGACGAATCCTACGTAGGTAGTACAGGATAAGATTGTCAAAAAAGGAAAAGAAAGAGATAGAACAATGAATGCTGTGAGTAATGTTAGAGGTTTGTACAACCATAAAGTAAAGTCCAATAGCAAAAAGAGAGCAGGAAAATCATGATGTCATGGGAAGATGCAGTAAAAAAAAGGGCAAGGCAAAACACTATCAGTATCAACACAGTTCCTTTATTGTCAGTCAGGCATTCTAAAAAAATATGTGTCCATAAAAATGATTCAAAAATCAAAAATAATCGCACTGTAAATGAATGTTCTGCTGAAGAAAAAGAAACTGGAGCCACCGGTCCACCACCTAGTCCAAATCCGACAGTTCCATGGCCTTACCAATGGACTGGTTGTGTTGGACCACCTGATCAAACGAGGGAGGGAGAGGAGTAGTTCCAATTTGGAACAAGTGAGTCCCAGGGAGCGTGTGGTAGGTGTAGCTGTAGCGAAGACGATGGACAAAAGATAAGTGTACCCAAGTGAATGGGACAGCGATGAACATGGGCAACACAAGGGGATGAACCTTCTCCAGCTCAAAAATTACCCACCCACGCTCCAACCAGGCAAGACGAGCGACCGATGTTTTGATAGTATATGATGGTAGATCGACGTCATAAAGATGGACCTGTTGCCCTATTTGAACCGGCCGCCGGGGCTTTGCTGATATCAGCAGTGGCACGTGGTAGTCTATGGATCGGCGACGGAAGCGGATAGGAAGTGGTGACATCAGAAATGGTGGGGGTGCAAATAAGATGAGGAGGAGGAGGAGGGTGGAGGTGACGAAAAGGTGGATTAGAATGGGGATCCAGAAACGACCGTCAGGTGAGAATAAAAAGGAGAGGAAGGGGCCCATGGTGGGGCTAGGCAAAGGAAGGGGATTAAGGGAAACAACAAAAGCGAGGGCGCAATGCAATGTGTAGCCAGTGGCGACGCGAAAATTTGCCAAAATGCCGAAATGCGGAAAGTACCGGATGGAAAAGCAAAGGTGAATGTGACTGGATTGCCTAATAGAGGTGGTGCTGATCAGCCACAAGTTCAAAAAGGGCAATATTAATTACTATTCCATGTGGCACTGTGCCTGTGTGGCGCAAAGGCGAGTCTTTTTGAATATTCGCTTCGTTATTAACACCTGTCCATGCTACCAATCAACTTTGGTGCATGACAGCGCGCAATGAAATGCTTCAGCCGTGTGCCCATGGGAGGCTCAAGTCAAAAGATTAGCTCCAATGTGTCACTTAACCGCACGCGCGGGATGAAATGATTCGGCCCAGTCCTTGCGCAGACTTACATCAATAAATACACCAGGACATTTTACTGACGCCCATTGCAGTCTCTTCACAATATCAAAGCAAACTGCAGATTAACATGGATGAATGAGACTGTTTTAGTTCTGCCGTTGATTTTGTTACAGTCTGTGCACTGTAAGTTAGATTTCATGGCCCTCAGAGTGTATCGCGGAACAAGGGCTGTGCACCCAAAGTCTCCACAAATTATACTACCCAAGGTAGTTGACTTACAGACAAGTGCCGGGGCCGGCACAGTTGAACATAATTGATGAATAAGCAACCCAACTGAGCGACAACACGCTCAACTGGGTGACAACGCCCCATATTGGGCAACAACACTGAGTAATAGGCGACATTTCTCAAGAATAAACATCTCAATTCAGCGACAACACCCATAACGGGCAACAACACTGAGGAATAGGCGACGATCTGAGGAGTTGGCATCTTAATTGGGCGACAACAGCGACTCAATACTGAGAAATATATGGCATCATTTGGGGTATAAAGTAATTTGTCCGCGGGGGATAGACAAGCAACTTAGACAAAGGCGACACTTGCACAACAACATTGAACATTGAATGCATGTGTTGTGGCTGTGCATCATGTATTACAAGCTACAATATTGTGTAGTGTATTATGTGCCCGCGGGCGTGGGAATGGTATGATTGATTTTGAATGCGTCCGCGGGCGCATAAGTTTGACGCAGCAGCAAGACAGAAATAAGGAACCTAAATGAGCGACAACACCCCATATCGGGCGGCAACACTGTAAAATAGGCGATAATTCTCAAGAATAAATATCCCAATTGGGTGACAACAGCCTGTTTCTAATCCGAGTCAGATTCGAAGGATAAAAGAGCTAAGTAGTAGTACAATGTCTCGCCACTCACACCTCACCTTACCTTTCTCCAGTACGTTCTGTAGTTCATCACTCCACGTCGGTACATTACACTTCCAGCATATACCTTTCTGTTGGTGGTATTGCATTCCACCCTTCCATCGCTTGTACCCTCCAACAGACACTCCAACCTTAAACAGTGATTGGCAGCTGTACATCCAGTGTTGCACTGATATTTCACCTTCACTCATGATATAGCATACTGGGCATCCATCTTCCTTCACCTTGTTCAGCGCCCTTCGCATACTCTCCATTTGCTATATCGCTATATCGTCCTATACCTAGCATTGCCTCCACCCACAATTATTTTCCAAATTAGCCCATGTCTCCTTCAAGTATTTCTCTACACCTGCATTCAATTCTGACATTTCGTCAATCCTAACTCCTAGCGGTAGTGCTATGTCCACAACCATGTCCACATACTCGTACTTCACTTTGCCTTTCTCCACAACTTTTTATACTTCACCACCACATGTACCTACACAACACCCTAGTGTATATCTTTCTGTCAGTACTTTGTATTATACCATGTTAACAAATCTTCCTCTTACTGTAAAAGCAATACTTACACTCACAGAATTGTTCTAACTTTATACATACCACCTTCAAGTATAAGCCATTGACTTCTTTGATCTTATAGCATACATATTGCAACTTATAATATCACATCATATAGGGGCCAATATTTTTTTTTTTTTCTTACCCTTGTGCACTATGTAACTAGTATATATCATGTTGATAAGCCAGATTTTTGGATGTGGACATCAGTACTTTGTTATAACTTTTCAAGTTCATGACTCAGTAACACCTGTATAGTGTTTGTCACTACAATATCTTGCTACAACACAATATAGTATTCAAATGTAAACCTCCGTCAACTTTTTTTTTGGTGGCTGTGCACTTGCTTAGTCATCACATTCACTATCAGACCTTCTACACATTTGCAGTACTTTCAACTGCAAGTCTCAGTCAACATTAGAGTATGTTTATTGGCTTGATTAGTGATCAGGATCACTACCATCGTTTCAACAAGTTACAAAGTTACACATGAGCTACATATATATATCCAATGTCTTCAATGTCAAGTAATATACAAGCAATCAACTGTTATATGTCCATATTAATCAAAACTGTATAAGACTTTGTCTCATCAATCACTACCAGGATCAGGGCCATACTCTACTTCATATGAAACATTGTCTTCATCATTATCCTCACCACTAAAGTCCATATCTCCGTCTGCATTATCATCTTCTTCTTCCTCAATCTCATTATCACCATTATGGACATCATTAGCCTCTTCCATATCAATGTCCTTTGGTACTTGTGAAGGTTGCATAATGTTCATCACTATATCCTCTCTGGCTTTCCCTTTGCCTTTGTCACCAGATGGAACTGTTGTAGCAGCTTCAGTTGCAGATGATTGACCTAGCTGAGACACAGGGTTTGGTGCTGATGTTGTGGTGGTGGAATACAAGTGCAATGTCTCCCTTGCTATGTGACCTATGTTTGTATTGCTGGTGTAGGTACCAAGGAGGTCTACCATTGTAGCATCAGCTGGAGCATTTACCTGATGCTTGCAAAAGTTGGTTAGGTATGTATGGCATGATTTACTCGTGTTTGCCAAGGCCATCTTTATAACTTCTTGCCAAAGGATAGGGAACTTGTCAAGATTGGCAGGTCGCCTTTTCAAGCCAACATGATTCTTGACTGCAATCCATGATACTTTGAGTTTAGGCCCAGCTTGTTTTATGGTAGCTGAATGTAACAGGTTATAATCAGAATATTGTAGCTACATGTAATGAAGCACTCACAAAGGTTATTAAACCTTTTGGCTAGTTCCTCTGCCAGATTATGATCAACTCCTCCACGACTTCTCTTTGACACTCTCTCTTCCGAGTCAAAGTCATAAGGGGTGGATCTCTTAAATGAAGAGGCTCCTATGGTTGAGGGTCAATTAGTGTTCTTGATCACTATCAGGGTTAGCTTACCAGTATCAGATTGCAAAGTAGAGAGTGAGGGTTCTAGTGAAATATAGATCAGATTGAATGCGTGATCAGATAATTATTTCCTTATGTATAAATTTCTGGCCAAGATGTTTTTTCCTTGGCTTGCTTGGGCCTGCAACCATGTCATTGCTCTCGGGATACAAGTCATCAGCCATGGCAAAGAGTGTTTCATCATTTAGAATAACCGGAATTGTCAAGGTGGATTGAGAAGGTTCTGATTGATAGAATATCTCTGTTAGTATTATAGCATGTATGATGAGATAAATTGAACAAACCAGAAACATTGACTGCATTCTGTGTTATAGGAGCTACAAACAGAGGGAGAGGTGTTAGTGATCCTGAACACTAAATAGGTCTGGCAGTAAATACCTTGTGGTGCTACTGCTGTTGGTGCTACTACTGCAGCAGCATTAGCTAACAAAGGTGTCACCCGCAATGTACTTCTTTTCAGTTGTTTTTCTTCCCAAGTCTTCTTTTTTGCCTCTGCAAGATGTTTCTTCATCACCTCCTCATTAAGCGCAAGAGTACTGGTTGATTGCAAAGCCTTGGTATACTTGAGTTCATTATCCTTACGTCCTCTCCAATATAATTTGGCTTCTTCTGAAGAAGCGATCCTAAGATCATCTAGCTCACGTTGCAGACCATTAGACCTGATAGCCTTGACCTGTTGAGCCTTGGTATACGGTGCAGTAAGGTCCTCTGTAGGTTCCCTTACACGAATATGTTGTTTGTCAGATACACCACCAAGTACCTAGAAAAAGTGATAAGGGGTCATTTAGTGATCCTGAACACTAATCCAGTACTCACCTGTATAAACTCCGTCAAGGCATTTTTAACCTCTGGATCAAGCATGAGGTTGCCACCAAGCTTGAATCCTCCTAGTTCTGGTCGTGATGCAATTTGAATAATTTCAAGCATCGACTGTATATTTCTGTCTTCAAGTGTTGAACCTTTCAATGTTCTGGCAGACGTCATTGCAATACTTTCTACTCTGTTCATGCTGGGCAAGAGATCCTTCATGTGGTCATTCTCTTCAAATTCAGGTTGTTCAACGATACCATCCCACCAATAATATCCTTCATCTTCCAAACCCAAGTCTTTGTATATCTCAGACATACATTTGGTTAGGTCCCTTCGCAAGTCCCAGATTATGTTGAACTTCAAAGTGTCCTTGTTGTTTGCACAATGGATGTTCTGAGTTATGAGATGCTGGATGAGGCCACAACCAACGGGCAAGTTGGTTCGCCATGGGAAGCCAGATACACGTAAGAGTTGATGGACTGCGTAAAGGCCCTTTTCTTGATCTTTGGTTGGCAGCTCTGCCCTGCAGCTTTTGATAAGGGCTTTGCTGGCTTCTGGAAGAATGAGATACTCAGCAGTATTGCCCAGCAATGACAACTCTTTAGACCATCCGTGTAAGAATGTATTAATGGCTGTTACCATCGGTTTGTTGACAGCTGAACAAAGGTCGGATATTTTGTCCTGTGTGATGTTATCATTTGATGTTGCCCATGCTACTTCAAAGGCAGGGAATGTAACCCTTCAACTGCTGATGATGATTGACATGATCTTGACATTGCACAAGTTAGTATTTTGTAGATGATACTGATAAGATGTGACTCACCTTGTGATAAAATTGCTCCCTCAATACAGGATCTTAAACATTCAACCGGTTTTTAAGGTACTTTATGAGAGCACCAGTGACGCAGTCCCATGGGTGGCTCTTATGCATATTGCCACCTGTAACAGGGAACGTAGCAGTAGGTTCAAACCAGGATATCACCTGTAGTCAGTCAGTTAGTGATTGAGAACACTAAATGGGCTGCTATAATGGCTTACTTGGCCCATACATATAGCCAGTAATACTTCATCTTTTGGATCACGTGGTGGCAGGCCCTTTGTTTCCCAGACAGATGTTAGTGAAGGAAAGACGTGTGGTGTTAAGACTGGTGGTAGCGTTGTCAAGTCCAGATGTGGACCTTTGAATGGCATAAAGCCAGTTCTGAGCCATTGCATTTTTGTGACCATGTTATCCAGGATGATTGCTATCAAAGAGCTTGAATCACAAGGCCGCAATTCAGGTATAATCTTTTCCACTGCAGTGATTGCAGTAGCCCAATACTGTTTATATGCTGTTTCATATACTTCTGTTTCTCCAGGCTCTACACTGCCATAATAACACATACCAGCAGAGAGCTGGGTGCTGAAGGAGCTATCTATGACTGTTAGGATCCCAGAAGAGAGTAGACTGAGATAGGGCTCAACCTCTGGTGATATAATTTGAGAGACAAATTCTAGATGTGCTGCATCCAAAACCTGTTGCCGTTCGCCAGGGTATGCTTGTAGGTTGAAAGGTTTTCTCAACACATTGAATGTGTACTGATCAAGATTTAGCATCTTGACTGGAGACACCAAAAAGTGTAGCATCTTCAACATTGGTGTGAAGAGCGCAATGTTCATCTACAAGCACGTTTAGTGTTCAGGAACACTAATCAAAGGCTATCACAACTCACCTTGGTAAAGTGAGGATGTCAATTGCAATAGAATGTTGTGACAGATGTATGGCGAGATTCTTCAAATTCTTTGACAGCATAAAGGTCCACCATGAAATCAAATAACTTGTTGTAGTTGACTGCCCATGCAGGACGAGAGCCAGATGACATCCTTTCCTTTGCTTGGGCCCACATTGTTGAAACCTGAGTGCAGAGTTCTGCCTTTTCTTCGGGCTTGCAGTCGCGGTATAAGCGTAACAAGTTCTTATACTTTTCAGTATCCGTATTGTCCCTGCCTGGAGCTGAGTCGTTGGCAGTCAGCTCATGCAATAACAGTGTACGGTTGGCGCTGGCATTGATAACATCTATGACAGGTTGGTTAGTGATCGAGAACACTAAATCAGCACAACATTACCTATGTCATAGAATTTTACCAGCCATATGGAGTGGTCCCTAACATATGCAGTCAGAGTTGCTGCCTCTGCTTCAGCCACATCTCTAGTCAAGTCGTCCTGAGCTGCAATGACTTGCATTTTGGCCTGTTGTAAATCATAGAAGGCCTTTGCATGTTGTGTCTTCATATATTGGACCCGATGGTTTCCATTAAACAGGTGCATTTCAGCACCTGCTTGATAGACTCTCTGAGCCCACTAGACATAGTTCGAATGGGGCAAAGTACCACCATTGGAAGGCTCAATGCCACCAGCAATGTGTTGATGGTGTACTCCAATTGTAATTGCCTTGTCCTCGTAATGATTCAAGAGGGCCTTGGCCTTGGCATAAGTTGAAATACTCTTCAAGGTTACCTGGTTAATGGGCCTTGGGTTGTAAAACTGTTTAATGAGGTTGGGCCCAGTACCCAAGTCATTGTCAGTACCGCCAATGCAAAGCATGGCATAACCGATTTCTGCCTGCGACAACTCATGCAAGATATGCTCTGTTAAGAGCTGCCTATGAATGGGGTTGTTCTATAAACAATGAGCATCAGCAGGATTAGTGTTCAGGTACACTAATCAATGTACTTGAGCTACACCTGCAGTCTATTGATATTGTAAGTCATAGTCAGCATTAGCAAGTTTAGTGATCAGGATCACTGATTGACGTACTTGAACAGCAGTAGGGGCCTGTTCATAGTGAAGTAGATGTGAGTTGAATATTGACCATTGTAGCATGACCTTATGCTAGATTACTTACTTGAAAGATGTTTGAAGCCTATTCGTAATAAGATGGTTAGTTATTCCAGGTATAGCATATATTTGGGTACAAACTTGGGGGGCTGCAATCTGTGATTACATAATTAATTAGCTAATCAAATACAAATATAAATGTGTAAACTAACAGAAGACATTCTGAATATATTGAATATATTGAAAATTGGAAGGAGATCCAAATATGGGATGGAGCGTCAATGACATAGTGCGATGCTGCACCGCACAACATCATGAGTTCCGATTGTTACACCCAATTTGGCTTGTAATGAACCAAATCAGGCTCGTAACTAACCAAATTAGGCAGGAACTCTGCACCGCACACCGCAAAAAAGAAGCATGGACTTTGGGGGTGTAATAACGCTAAGTAATAAGCGAACTGGTCTTGTGATCGGTGACGCGTGTAAATTCCGGACTTGTCCACAATAGGACTCCGTCGGAGTATGCGATTTAAAGTGCCGCTACTCTGCCAGTTTGCATTCACTATATAAACCTCTGAAGATACCACTGATGAGGAATAAAATCCGAAACTGCTCGTCTACCTCCATTGAGGGCAGTCTGGTATCTCTTCATCACGCCTCCAGCCCACCGATCTCACTCAGCCGCTTTGCGGCTTCGTTCAATCGCCACCTTAACTAAACAGGCTGATCACTATCTTACACCGCACGGTATTCCTCACAAGGCCTCCTACCCTCACGCTGAGCCTTTTGTTCCTTATTGTTCCAGCATGTCTAACCTTCCGTCCTTCTCTCGTGCCATGTCCCCCTCGCTCTTAGCCAATGCCAGTACCTACCTTAGTATAGCTGACAATGATGCTGGAGGGCACGCCGGCCGTATTCTGACTATAGGTCTTTGTACGTCTGTGAGCGAGATAGTCAGTGCCCTCCCCGCTGATTACCAGCCGGCCTTACGCCCCCTACTACGTGACCTTGCCAACGCCAGTGCTAAGGAGTGCAGCGTAAAGGCTTCTTTGTCCTTATCGCGGTCAAGCGTGCTGAGCTACAATGGTTCAGGGAGCGCTTGTCCTTAGAGACCAACTATGTTGCTGTCTCAGAGGCTATTGAGTCAGTGGAGACGTCTCTTAAGGAGACGCATAAGATCCCCAGCAATGCTGCTGATCCGACTCAAGCCTGGGTTGTCAACCCCGCCGTCACTAGAACGGCAAAAAACCTCACTAAAGACCTCCCGTCTATCCTCTCCTGCGTCGTTCACATTGAGCGCGCTCGTGATATGGAGCAAAGGAACCGGGAGGAGGCAAAAAAGAATCTGAAAGATGCTACAGATGTTAAGATGGGAGACGCTCAACAAGACGACGAGGGTGCCCGCATCGCCGCGGAGGTTAATAAACAGGTGCAGAAAGCAGTCGCTGCACAGTCCCGCCCACGCACTAACATAAGTTCTTCTGATTACCAGGAGACAATCAGTGCGAATGTTCACACTGTTCTAGGCAAATGCAGCCGGACCATTGAACCCGCAAAATTGCGGACAAGGTCGCGGCTTGCGAAATTCAAACACATGTGGAACGAGGTCTCACATGCCCACCAACTCTGCAAGAGTGAATGGTGGCCAGGCGACGACAGCGCGTATCCAGCAGGCAAGATCCCAAGCCCGTGGCTCCCTGATACGTGGGTTTCTTGAGCTTATCTTACTCATGACTTTGACTTAGATGAATGTATGACGTCTAGGTGGCAACATGATGCGAGGTGGCTCGAACGCGCGCAGAGGAGGAGGGAGACCCTCCAGGAAATGAACATCCACCATACGCTGGACGCTATGGCCGGGAAAACATTTTTGTATGTCAATCCCCTGTCATACCCAGATGAAATACTTACATTGCCGTACCCACTTGCAGTTCGCGGACTTATACTTTCCGCCCCAGCCATGTTGCGTTCTGGGTCTCGGTTCAGAAGCAGGGTACATTTGGGCCCTAATGTAGTTATTTCGGACTTTTTGCAAACGGACCTTAGTGTAGGAATGCGGTACCTACTGGCCCGGCCCATTAAGGGCGAAAAAATAAAGCATGCTTATGTTGATTTCGTCCAAAGTCTAAGATGGCGAATCTTTTTTATGAAAAAATCAGCTTTAGCGGGTGATTTAGAGGTCGAAAACGACTATGACCCAGATTACGATCTCCACAAGCCACGGAAACATGAACTCCCCCGGCTTGAGGATGTGTACATAGAGAGCGGGATCACAAACGAATGGACATTTGTTAACAATTACATTGACAATGTCGTACCAACGATTGAGAGAGAAGCCAGTTATTCTACTCAACTGGTGGATCTAAACCAACTCAAAACATACCTACGGTCACAGAACTATGTGGTTCTTCCTACCGATAAGAACCTTGGAATATCAGTATGCGAGAGAGACTGGGTCGTCTCTAAAACCCAGGAGTTGTTAGACAATGCTCTGAACTACCGCCGGATATCGGTGGAAGAGAGAAAAGTCATTCTCCTCCAGACAGTGAAAGACATGAATCAAGCCGGCATATTTGCTGCTACCTTTGGTATCGGCGGTTCACAGTTACCCAATTTTCTGGTATCTAAATGTCCTATCATGAAAGAAGGCGGCGAGGATTTCGAAACAGAGCCAGCTGTGCCGGTGTTTTATGGTATTCCAAAAATCCATAAAACTCCCACTAAAATGCGGCCAATTGTTCCATGTCACTCTTGTCCTCAAGCGCCCCTTGGTAAATACCTTTCCAAATGTCTGAAGCCAATGTTAAATACGCATCCTTACATCCTTAAAGGGAGCAAGGAATTAGCATTGAGACTATCAAAAGTTACGTTATCTCGCTATAAAAAGTGCTGGATTGTGTCCGGTGACATAGTTGCCTACTACCTGTCTATACCACTACAGCCGTGCATGGATCTTATGATCCGTATGTGGAGAATGGCCAATCCCAATGCGACACCAGGCGAGCGCAATTTGTTCTTACGGGCTTTAAGACTTGCGAACGTACACCTTCTTTGTGACTTTAATGGACATACATACGAACAGCTTCAGGGACTTGCTATGGGAGTTGCATCTTCCCCAGATATAGCTAACCTGTATGGCGCTTACTATGAAGAACAATGCCTTCCAGATGACCGCATTGCCTTCTACTGTAGGTACATCAATGACGTCCTGGCCCTTGTTTACGCTGATTTTGCGGAAGAAGCTTTGATGATCGCGGGCCGTATTAAAATTAAAGATGTCACAATAGAGTGGGAAGCTTCGGAATACAATACGGCATTCCTTGATATGACGGTATATATCGACCTGATCGCTAGATCAGTCCAGCATATGCTATACCAGAAAAAGCTTAACCACCGAGAACGACTTCCATGGCTATCTCACCATCCGAAAGATATCAAAAAGGGTACCTTTATCGGAGAGATGTCATGCCTCGCGGTTCTATCTAGTCTTCCAGAGCACTACATAGACACCATTAGGGGCCTTAAAGGCCTCTATATGGGCTGCGGTTATCCAGAGCGCGTGTTGGATGCTTGGGTAAAAGATAACTTAAGAACACGATGGGAAAATAGACTAGTGACTAGAGAACTAACACGAGACATGTTTGTCTTGAAAACCGAGTTTAATCCTGCATGGAGTTGTTTTAACGTCACTGAACTTGGTAGAATTATCACAACCACCTGGCTGGAACACGTGAATTTAATTCACGCCCAGCACGCTACTGCAAAAGCTAGATCTGATGCACACCAGGCCTGGCTGAATGCCCGTGGTCTGGTCGAGGATCAGTTCATCGAAGCAGTAGATCGCGTAATTGCTGTACCCAGGCGTCGGCGGGCATCTGATGCCGCAGCGGTGGGAGCTATGGCCCCCGCGTTACGTGGAGCCAAATGCGTGATCGATGACGCTAACGGGAACCAAGATGCGCCTGATGAGCAATTATTGGTGGAAGATCCCTATATGGCGCCCCAACGCTATGTAAACTACCCCCGGCTTGGTCCTAGTACCAGGCCGGTTGATTGGACCTTCTTTGATCCAACCCAACGCCTACCCGGCAGCCGAGCTATCGGTGGAAGGGTCTTTGATGTCAAAGTAGCTGGTCTTTGTGATAGACGCTTTATGGTATCACGTAAACGTATGAAGAATGTCTTTGACGTCGTGTCCGTATGGCAAAAAGCGGTCCTGGCTACCTTATGCTGCTCAATGTTCTTTCAAGGGAGCAAACCCCTATCTCTAATGTTACCCTAACTCTACCCTAACCACTTAGCCCTAACCGGCCAACCCTAATCTTAACCTATGGTACCTGTCGGGCGGCTTCGGCTGTCCATAAACGGGTGGTGCTACAAGCTTTTGCTATGTCACCACGCCTAACAAATGTATGTTCACTCGCTATTGATAGCAGAGTTGCTTAAACACCTTGGTCACTACGGCGCCCCTCCGGGGTCGCCTTTTGCTCCCTATACTTTGAGGTCTTTCTGACTTCGTACTTTACTCTAATGTTAACCTTTCTTACTCTTCGGTATGGTCCGGGACCTTTCCTACCGGACCTTAATGATGAAATGACCCTAAAGGGGAGCCGCTGAGTCTAAACTCTATTATGGTCTGCTGACGTGATTGTCATGACACCTTTATCCGGAATTAACCGGTATCCGCCCCCCGGCATTCGTGTCGGACTGGGAGGGAGATAGAGCGGGTCTAGAAAGTGGTACAATTGTATTTGCGATTTGATGATTGGCTGATAAGCCCAGACGGCTTTAATGCGGCTTCAGAACACATGCCGGGCTATCTTTACCCGCGGGCCCCGAACCCTAAGCATGAATGAGTCATGTAATCACCGCTGACTCGGCAATTGGTAATCCCTTGTCTAAGTATAGCACCTAGGCGAAAGAATGATGTGATACGGTGGTCTAGATCTACCGGCCCAGTTACCCCTGTCTAAATTTCACCCTATCTCGGCTCCCATCTCAGCAGTTCTCGCCCAAGTAGTAAGCAAACTGGTCTTGTGATCGGTGACGCGTGTAAGTTCCGGACTTGTCCACAATAGGACTCCGTCGGAGTATGCGATTTAAAGTGCCGCTACTCTGCCAGTTTGCATTCACTATATAAACCTCTGAAGATACCACTGATGAGGAATAAAATCCGAAACTGCTCGTCTACCTCCATTGAGGGCAGTCTGGTATCTCTTCATCACGCCTCCAGCCCACCGATCTCACTCAGCCGCTTTGCGGCTTCGTTTGATCGCCACCTTGACCTAATTGGGCAACAACAGCCTGTTTTGAAACCGAGTCGGATTCGAAGGATAAAAGAGCTAGGACTTGATTGATTTTCCCCCGGCTTTTGTGGCAAAAGTCCTGTTTTTTTTTGTCTTATTTTTGCTTTTTTTGCCTTGATTTGTGTCCTATAAACCCAAGCCCCGTTGATACTAATCCTGGGCTTAGATGAGATTATTTTCTCAGATTTATTGACTGCTGTATTTGCTTGTGTTTCTTATTGCAAGTCTTGTATCTCAAGACTGAGAAATTTTGCATTTGTTGACTTGTTCTGTGTCTGTAAAGTTGTCTGACACTGGTAGGAATACTTGGCCTTGTCATTTTGCCAACTGAGAGTGATTTGTTCCTTTTGTTGTCTTCTCCCATGCTCACTTGATGGCTGGGTGGTTGTTTTTTTGCAAAATTTTTGTTTGTTTTGCCTTTGCTTTGCTTTGCCCTGATATGTGCAAATAGTCGTTGGGATGATTGCCATGCTCTGTTCATGTCTCATGTCTCTGTAGTGGTTGTGACTTGTCCCTTTGACTTGGTGGTTATTGCAAAAACCTCGTTTTTTTTGGTGTCTGTCTGGCCCTGTTTGGCTTCATTTTCTGCATAGACTCTGTCATATAATCCCGAAGTATTGCTTGGTAATCACAGACCTGTGGCGGGAAATCTTTCTCATTTTTGATTCTCTTATCAGGTTGTGCACAAGGGAATTAGTATACGTCTATACTAGATGTTTGCTGGTATGAACCATCACAAGTCCTTTCTCAGTCATGCATCAGTAGGATTGTATCTTATACTGAGAGGCATTTGGCAATCAAGAACACTAATCATTGATAGTGACAACTTGTTCTGCAAAAGTCCTGTTTTTCTTTTGACTCTGTTCAACTTCATTTGCTAGTACTGACCGTGATTTAGTATATGTGTACGCTAAATGATGTTGTGGCGTGGTGGTGGTGGGAACTACTCTGAACCTGCTAACTTGGCCCCCCCAACCCCCCAAGGGGGGCTTTGTCTCTATGTTCCCATCACTGATGCTAGCCAGGACTTGGTTAATTTCCCCCCGGCTTTTGTGTCAAAGTCCTGTTTTTTTTTGTTTTGTTTTTGCTTTTCTTTGCCTTGATCGGTGTACTATAAACCTGAGCTTTGTTGATACTAATACTGGGTTTTGACGGGATATACTTGCTATTTTTCCAGATTTATCGACCGCTGCCTTTGTTTGTTTTTCCTATCACAAGTCTTGTGTTTTGTGACTGAGAATTTTCGCATTTTTTGACTCATTACCTGCTTATTCCTTGTGTCAGAATAGCAAACATGTGGGGAAAGTCATCCATGGATAGCTGATTTGACGGTTGTGTCGGGTTCCCTATCTGGGACAGACTTTGGTTGCTTATATTGCAATTGATATACCTCGCTCTTTTTGCTCTTTTTGTCTCCTGTTTTTTGTCTGCAATGGGTGGGAATGTGAAAATAATGGAGCATGTGACCAGTTGCTACGTTTGCTTTGCGTGATTGATAGCAAAAACCTCGTATTTTTTGACTTGGTTCTGTCTTGTCTTTTGTCTGTGATTTGACTTTTGTGTGTGGACATCTTGTTTGTTTTGGCTTCTGTTGTTCCGGACTTGGTTGATAGTATACCCAGGGATAGTGCAACATGTATGGATAATTTGACATCTGCAGTTGGTCCCCTTTCTGGGCCAGACTTTGTCCTGTTCTTTCTTGAG